AAAAAAAAAAAAAAAAAAAAAAAAAAAGGAAAAAAAGGAAAAAAAAAGACGATAGAGGGAGAAATGAATACCGAATCTGATTCGGTCCGATCCGGTTCGATTCGATTTGATTTGGTTTGATTCGATACGGTTCGGTTCGGTTCGTCATCCATCCAGCGACATCACTTCGCCCTGCACGCACACATACACATCTACACACATGTAACACGTATACATACCCACACGACAAAACATGCAATTGTACACGTGACAATTTGTAGATAGGTACGTACATACAGCTTTGCTAAGTGTTTTCTGGTGATCGGTATTTAGTCAACAAAATGTAGCAGAAACATTTATAATAAAATGGTAACACACATTGTTTCCCAATTCAGAGTCCTTTCGAAGTTGTACGCGCGTAACAGGGTAAACTATTCTATCCTTTCAGACGCCGATTTCTTAACACGCCGTGATGTTCTGTGATAACGATCGCTCGAACAAGAATGATTAAAACAAGAACAAAAAAAAAAAGAAAAAAAAAAAGGAAAAAAGGAAGAAGACGAACGCGTCAGTATATATTTCTTTATTTTTATTTATAATAAATTTTAAAGCGTTTTCATTACGAATAGAGACCAGAATCTCGACTTTCTACGGAGATATGTAAAACACTTCCATGTTTCGTGTTCACTGATGCAAAAGGAGAAATGTTAAATAATATAAACGACTCGAGGCAAAACGGAACATTTCACTTGCCAAAGGACAAATGTACACCGCGGATGAGCCTGCGACAGTTTTAACGTAATTGCCATAGTTGCAATTCAAACCATCCGGAGCGGATCAACTGGAAGTTGATCGATACCTAAGATTTTTAAAAACCGTTACGTTGATGGTGAATGAACAATTCGGTGGGATACTTTTAATAACTCTTCGCATAAACAGTGAAAGTGAACGTGATGTTCAAAGTTAGCGATCATTAGCCCGAAAACACGAATGGCGAAATCGTTGTAATCTCGGTCCGAGCGTTTACGATGGAGTAAAACGACACACAGTTCTTTCATAGGCCGCGATGCTGCTCCATCATTCAGAAGAATGTTTTATCAACATTGATTACCATTTCAAACTTACTACTCGCGGATTGTTCTATCAATTTTAAATCAACACGAGATGAAGTTGCAGAAAGAGAATCATCCCCTAACACTAGTATATCTTGAGTTTCATGCCCCTGTTTTCGTACACGATATTGAGTACAACAATGTAATTAACTATACTATTAAACGAGTTGAGTGAAATAACTTCCACTTGCAATTCCTCGAGATTTACGGTAGCCGTTACACGTACGAATAGGAGTGTTAATAAAATACCTAATTATCTTTTTCCAAGCACGACATACTATCTATAGAATTTAGTCAAGTCTAAATTGGATGATAATGTATCAAATGCGATCCGAATTAACCAAGGTGGAACTGTTTTATCAAACA